CCACATATAGATTTCTCAGGAGATAGATAAGGTGGTCAGGCACTCCCATTTCTTTAAGAACTTGCCATAGTTTGCTGTGGTCCACACAGTTGAAGGCTTTTGCGTAATCAATGAAGCAGAAGTAGATGTTTTTCTGGAACTCTCTGGCTTTCTCCATAATCCAGCGCATGTTAGCAACTTGTTCTCTAGTTCCTCAGCCCCTTCGAAATCCAGCTTGTACCTCTGGGAGTTCTTGGTCCACTTATTGCTGAAGCCTACCTTGGAGGATTTTGAGCATAACCTTGCTAGCGTGTGAAATGAGTGCAATTGTATGGTACTCATTACTCTTGCATATCTCATAGTTTGTGCAGTTACCTCTTACCCCAGTACTCTCTGAGAGCCACTGGCACTGTCGTAAGAAGTAACCCTGTGAATTAAACATATGGTGAGTGGTGCACTTGGTGTATGTTATCACTGCAAGATGGATTGAAGCCATGTCACATTGGGTAGTTTTCCTTATTTGCCACTTCTGGATGATTCTGGATATGTAGCACAATGAGGTGCTGATGGGGAGTAGGAGAGCTTGGCATTCAGTTTGGGCAATACCAGGTTTGGGATTTGCCTGAGGCAAATGATCACATTTGTTCCCAGGGGGAAGTCTTTTTTACAATTCAGTTAGTATCTGGATCACAAATTGAGTTGGATGAGGTGTAAATCTTGCTTCCCCTTGCCTTGCCTCTCCTCCCCACTAAAGATAACATTGTACAGTGGTGCCCCACATAGTGACGGTAATCCGTTCCGAAAAAATATCGTCACTACTGTATGTGGATTCGTCGCTATGCGGGGGAAAAAAGCCCTTAAGAACACATTAAAACACGTTTAATGCATTCTTATGGGCACAAAACTCACCACTATGCGGAAATCCTCCATGCGGCCGCCATTTTCGCTGCCGGTAAGCGAGGAATCCGGGCAGAAACACAGCGGGCGGCCATTTTCTTTACCTGGCGGCCATTTTGGAACCGCCAATCAGCTGTTGAAAAACCATCGCAGTGTGAAAATCAGCGCGTGAAACGCTTACGATCATCGTAATGCGATGTTTACCATTAAAAATATCACAATGCGATCGCATTAGCAATCGCAAAAACAACGTCGCTATGCGGATTCGTTGTTAAACGGTGCGCTTGTTAAGCAAGGCACCACTGTATCTAGCGGGAGGTGGTCTGGGGTTATGCAGTTTGCTCCAGAGTGCAGCTTGACATGGAATAATGATCATATTTTACAATAAAGCAAATTTCCCTGCAAACACAGAAACCAACAGGTTTTAGCCTAGCCCCTTTAATTGTTCTTCATTTCTGTGGAATTTTACCAAGGAAACATTAAAAGATCGTACCCCCTTCTGCCTCCTGAACTCTGAAGCTATTTAGTCTAGCATCTGAGTACCATTTATCACCTAATTCTGCTGCACATTCTGCTAATGATCAGGCATAGATCTTCAGATGCTGAGTGGTGTTGGTGTAAGATGGAGATTTCAACAAACATCTTCACTTTCTTGCTGATACTCATCATTTTTGTCTTCTTGGCAATCCACTCCATGTGTGAGAACTAGATTTGAGGGATACTTAACTCTTTGCTTGTACAGAGAGTTCTCTCATTCTATATCAAGGCAATAACAGGTAAGCAGGCCTGGCACAAGATTTATTTTATATTTATATTTGCCAGAAGGGCAGAAAATGCTTTCTGTCAGGCTTCTTATTGCATCCAGCAAAAACTTCTTCTGCTGCTAGATGCCTTTCCTTGTTGCAAGGTATATACTATTTTTACCACTGGGGGCAGTTAATATAAGCTTTGTCTTGCATAGAAATTGAAGTAAAAGTGTTTATTGTTTTTTTTTCATATTCTCTATTCTCACTAGTCAATACTTTTCCACAGCCCGGTTTTTGACATGCTGAAACGGAACGTGACTCCTGCTTCTGTTGCAGGTAGGTTTCTCATAGTATTATCTAAATTTATTCAATGCTTTTAAAAATTCAGGTAAGTGAAAAATATGTAAAAAGTTTTAAACTGAAATGAACTGCTGACAAAACATTGGGATGACTGGGGACACTTAGCCTTTTCTCTCCCACTGTAAGTTGTTTGCAAAAATCAGGCATGTTTTTATTTGACTTACACTAAAGTTGATCAGGGCGCAGCAATTTGGGTCCTCCAAATGATTTGAGCTTGCAGTTACCACAGTTCTTCATTGTTGAATATGCTTCCTGGACTGATGTGAGGTGTAGGCAAAAAGATCTGGAGGGCTGTAGTTTTTGAGTGGAGGTGGGGAATAGTAACAGGATGTCATTATACCTAGGATGATGGGAGGATAAAACACAGTGAGTGCAGTCCAGAGAATATTATGTCCTGACGAAATTAGTGATCCATGCATTTAGATGTATATTTATATGCAGTCTCTTTCTATGAATTTATCTTACCTTGAATTCTGTCAACTTGCTTAATTTGGAAGTGGTAAAGCGAAACTCAGTTGTTACTTTTCACAGATATTTGACTTGTGTGATTATACTCTACAGGTGTCTTACTTTCTGGATTTGTTTATATAGTAATACAAATAAAAACCTTTAATTTTGCATTAGATGAACTAATATTTAAAGTGCAAATATTTAAGAGAATAATTTTCTGTGTGTGCTCTATTGAAAAATCTGAGAAACATGCCCATTCTTTGATAAGAGGAATCCACTGAGGGGCAGCAAAAAGGACTTATTTGGATAAATAGTATTTTCCTTCCATCCTGGTAAAGGATGTGGTTTCTTTCACTGTGACTTCTGATGCAGCCACTCTAAGGTTAGAGACTATCATATCCAGTTGCATTTGACACTTTTCCAGAATTGGGGTGGGTAGTAGATGGTTCAGGAGAACTCAAGTTGCCTTGTATTTGAAGCACAGATTTCCAAGAAGCTGGGTTTAGGAATCTCTTGTTGATTGTATTTTTAATTTGAACAGATTTTTGGTGATTAAGAGGCTTAACATTAAATAAGGGAAAGACTTGCTGTTGCTGCAAAATAAATCCTGCCTCAGGAAGTAATGAGATAAACTTGAGAGGAGGATTCAAATAGTTTTGAAAAACATTCAGAATGTCAATCCATGGGGTGGAACCTGAAAAACAGTGTTCAAAATTACTGGTGGAGTTCAGCTAAACATTAGGAAGAACTAATGGCCAGAATCCCATTGCTGGTTTATGATTGTATAAGGGACATTGCTTAAGTAAACCTTTGCAGAAAATTGCTGCTCAGTCATGCTGATTTGTGTCACTGGATGGACATAGAATTGGGGTATACCCGGGAACACAGCCAGCTTGTTAGTGAGTGGCAGTTCACCTCCAAGACTCAAATAATTTATTTTAATGCCAGTGCAAATTGGCAATAGGTATAGGATTTTATTGTTGTTTTTTAAATACTACTACCACAGTTCATAAGGAATTCTTCCAACCAGACTTCTGGACCTTTAAGCAAAAAAATTCAGATCCTCAAAGGAGTTTCAGTATGTGCACCTGCGGCCCAACAGAACATGTAGCCATTTCAGACAGAGTCAGTGGGACTTGCTAAGCTCCATGGGAATTACAAGAGGTTGTGGGGCTGGTAATCTCTTTGGTCATTAAGCTCTGTAAATAGTGGCTTTCAAAAAAAAAATTACCAACCCCATAATTCTGGCTGGGGGAAATTTCTGTTGAATTTGGTAGTTGTGAAAAAAAAATCTGAAAGTCTCAATCTAAATGGCATTAGGATTCTAGGGTGTATTACCTGTTTCACAATTGGACAAGTGGTGCTGGGTCTTTTGAAAGCATAGATTTGATTAGCAACATTCATTGCCATCAGGAAGATTATGCTTTGAATATAATCTTCCACATTTACAGAAGTTAGATGGCCTTTTATATCCCTTTAAATGCTTTGATTCTATGAAAATACATTTGGTTATGCTGGTATCAACTTCTGCCATTAACAGATTACTGTATAATTTCCATATAGGCATGTTCTTTAAGCTTGGTTCTACTCCTGTGAAAATCTAGGAGCACTATAGACCATAATAAAGTTGGATTTGGAATGTGGAGTGCATGTACTGTAGAAACAGTGGAGAAATAATAGCTTGACTGATTAACAATGTTAGAACGTGATGAAACAAATTAATTTTAAAAACCTGGCAAATGGACTGTACTCTCTTTTGGCAAGAGTGAGGACTGCTCTAAATCCACAAGTTATTCATAATTGTGCTGAAAGTAAGAAAAAAATAAAGGAAATATTAAAATACAATTTACAGCATTTGAAGAGTAAATAATCCTACTATTATTCTTTAAGCAGTCAGGGTATTTGTGTTTTCTCGTTTTATTACAAATATGGACATTTAGAACAATTTTTATTACTTGTACTTGCACAGTTGCTATAAGTACAAAGGCTACAATGCATATGCTGAAGGCAAAAATGTAGTTTATGTTGCCCTTGGCTATTTCATGTCACATGTTTTTTTCCACTTCAGTGATGCAGTAATTGGGATTCATATGCAGTGATTTTGAAATCATTGTTAATCTTTCAGTAGAGAGCATTTATTTTGTTTCTTGGTGATCTTTCTATTTTGACTAAGTAATCAGATCTGTGAGTTGTTGTTTCTACTGTCAGTGGGGTTTAGAGACAGTGTTGGGATTCCACCTTGTAGCCAGTTATTCAATCCTAGCTTAATCTTTCTCATTCTGAAACTGTTTTAGGTAAAGAAGCTAGGTTTTGTAACATTTGGTATGGCACTCACAGACTGAAATGATGTGTGAGCATATCCCCCCTTTTTTTCATACTGATGTAGGAATGTTTTTTTCTGCCCCACATTGCATGCTGGCAGTGGTTGTGGCCTCATCCACAAGTAGATGGGTGCCCCTGTGTTCTTTTTTTTACCACTTATGCCCCTTTCTCCTTACTCTTTACTGCAGTGATTTCCAACCTTGGGTAATCCAGGTGTCCTTGGCCTGCAACTCCCAGAAACCCAAGCCATCGTAGCTAGTACTGAAGACTTCTGGGTGTTGTAGTCCAATAGCACCTGGTTTACTCAAGGTTAGGAACCCCTGGTCTATTGAGTGATATGGGAGAAACAGTTTGCTCTTGCTGGACCTTTGTACTGGTTGGTTGCAGAATTCTCCCGAAGAACCACCATAGATTGTGCATCTGTGCAGTATACTCTCTGACTCTGTTCCTTTTCAATAACCTTTGCTGCTTCTTTGTTAGAGCCTCATCTTACACATCATGAAGCAGCTGGCTGATAGTGGTTACCTATCACTATTAAATGTGCCACCTTATAGCCACAAGAAATGGACTTGTCCTGTCTTTGCATTGTTCGGAGTAATTTTTTCATCCTTTACAAAGATGGAGTTTTCTAGCAAGAGATCTTAGTGTACAGCAGTAAGAGGATTTACTTGACTGTTTTGCTGCGTACTGGCAGCTACAATTCCAGTCCAGTGCTGCTCTCTCAGTTATTGGTTGTTACTAGTTTTATCATTTTTTTAAAAACTATATAAGGGCAGACTACATAAGCATTGTGTTTAATTTACCCTTAATCATTTGCGCTGGATGGACTAGGGGGAAGTAGTGTGGGTTGCAGTTTAGGAGGTTATGTTTCATTCATTGGAAATTAAGAACTGAAGGCATAAATTCTGGTCATCGGGCATCTAGGAATGGAACAGTGTTGGTGGAGAAAAATGTTTTCCTCAGCTTGTAACACATTCAACCCCACAGTTGCCAGGCTTCGTTTTATTCATTGCTTCTCAGGGGGCTCCTGTGTTGTGTGAATGGCTATTACCGGGGAAGGTTTTTTCTTCTTTTACCTGCTGTCTAGATGCTGCACAGACACTTGTTCTCGCAAAGGATCAGAGTGTGGATAATCCAAGCCAAGATCAACTGAAGGTAAACCCACCGCTGGGTGGCTTCTTTTGTCGTACAGAGTGTACCTTCTCTGTACCTGTGCATGGTGGGGTGCCAGAACTTCTGACTTAATTCTTGGACCTTTGCTTTCCTCAGAAGTTCTTGGCAATCCACAGACCAGGGACAGAGTGACAGTCTCTGTTCTCTACCTAACAGAGTTCCATTCTCTGAGTGTGTTTTCTGGGGTGTAACACTTCTTGTACTCAGTCACGCCAGCTTGCATTGTTGTTATATTTCTTGATGGGATTTTTTAAAGCAAAGAGTGATCTATATTTACTAAATAGCTGCCTTTCTTGAAAGCTTCTAATACTTGGAAAAACCTTAGCTTAACCTAATTTGTTTTTTTTTCATGCCATTGTTAAATTACTCTAGTTTAGTCCAGCTTTAGAAAGAACTATATGAGTTGGTATCAAGCTTTGTATCATTAGCAGACTGCTTTTTGAGATTTTTCCCAGCTTATTTTTTTAAAAAACTGGTTGTAACTTTGTCATCTTGTTAGATGCCGTGCTTTGTGTGCTCAATAAACCTTGATTTCTTTCATAACTGCTTAGTGTTGCTCTGCAGCTGGTGACTCAGAAAGGAAGGGTTACATCCCTGTGTTTCTCTGAGATCCAATGAGATAACAGATATCTTTCCATCTTCCTTTAAGCAGAGTATCACTGAGAGATGTTTCGGTATTGGGTACAAAGAGGATGAAGGTGATGCATCTGTCTTGGCTACTTCAAAGTATGTGTGCAGAGAGGATAAAGGTGAGTGTGGTGTTTGCAACATGGGCATAGATAGTGCATGATTGCCATGTGGTAAGTTTCTCACTTGTTGAGATTCAGATCAGATTTTTTCTGATCTTTACCCTAGTTGGATTTAGCTTCTTTCTCAGTTTCTCAGATCACACATAATGGTATAGACATTACACACTGTTCCAAAAGCACTTAAAGGAAGTTAGAAGATGTTTCCTTTCGCTCTCTCAAACAAGATGGTTTCTTACTTCAATTCCTTTTTGAGCTTTTCTGACTATTTGGTAGAAGCATATTCATGTTAACCAAACTGATGTCCACAGCACTATTGGCTTACAATAGATAGGATAGTGCCTTGCTGGGGAGAAAATGCTTGTTTGAAAGCATTCAAGGAGAGTGGGTCTGTGTTGTCTGGGAAGTTCTCTTCTCCATAGTATGAATCACAGCAGGATGCTTTTAAATTAACTTCTTCAGCGCAGTCTTACTAATCTTCTGAAGTGTGACATTTTCTGTGAAAACTCATAGAATCATGAGTATCTGATAGACATGATAGTTTAAGCCCAAACAAGTCTTTAATTGTTGACATTAAGAATCTTTGGCTATTTTTTAAACTGGTAACTAATGTATCAATTTTTCTTAAGAGCACTTCCCTTGGGGTTTGTAGCTGAATTTCCTAGAGCCAGTGGTGAAAACAAGTTACTCATTTTAAAAAAGACATATTTTTTCATGTGTGTTTTTAAGTCTGAGAATTAATCTCATTGTTAGAAGATTATACATACACATCCTATGTTCTTAGTGTTATGGAAGCTGCTAGGCTTACAGGGAGTTTTCTTTAATTTTCAGTTTATCTCTCATGTTTACATCAGCAATTTGTAGAAAAATTCCAAAAAATATATAGATTTAATTGTTTATAGAAAGAAAGGTGAGTATCAAAGGATTCATGTAGGTTCAAACATTAAATCAACATAATATGTCTTTTTTAATATCTATAAAAATGTGGTCATGAATTAAAGAAAATGACAAGACTACTTTCAGAATGATTCTTTGTACTTTGCAAAATAAAATTAAACTTTCATATGTTTTAAAAGCAATAATAACCTTGTGCAGAAGATAATCATAATAAAGTCACAGTAGTAAATAATAATAACAGCTGACAAGTTGATCTTAGTAACCACTAAATATGAAGGTATTAGTATATGAATATTCCCGCATAGCTGGATTTAACATGTCTACTCACATGTCCACCAGCAGCGGCCTCGTTCATCCTTCCAGTTATTCCCGGAGTGCCGCTCTCTTCCTTCTCGGCTAGCAGGAAGATTCACCCTCCCTCCCTCTGCTTGGAGTAGCTAGCCAAGCGGGAAGAGAGCCATCCTCCAGGAGTGATTGGAAGGATGAGTGAGTACACCAGTGCCAGCGGATGCATGAGTGGACAGGGCCAGACCCTCGTTAAGTCCAGCTGTGCAGAGATATTTGTATATCAGTACGAATACCCCCATCTCTAGTAGCCACCGTACCAAAATTGTGCAACATGTGAACAAAAGTTGCTGGACATATACGTAACATGTGTAGAGGTTTGTTTGCTATTTTTAAGGAATCACAGAGTCTGGCTGGGGATCATAGCAGTGAGCTGTTTCTCTGGGCAGGGTTGTTAATTCACAAAACAGTAAGTATATTCTAATCTGCATTTTTCTTGGTCTCTCCAGAGAAACCAGTAATAGATAACCGATCAAAAGAACAAGCCACACTGGATCTGGTGCTTGAAGAGTGGGATATACCTGGTCTTCCATGGTGGTTTTTAGGGAATCTGAGAAACAACTACAAGTCTAGGAGTAATGGCTCTACAGATATACATACTAATCAGGTAAATGTTAGTCAGCAGTAATTCCTTGTCCTGCATGTATAGATGTAGGGTGTGGACGTATGCTCCTTGGCCTGATTTCTTGAGGGTGGCACAGAGAGATGGAATGTGTTCTACTTCCTTTTGGCTCTGGCTTGTCTTGCCATCAGCTATCGCTTGCAATTGACTTTGCGTAAGGCTGCCATGGCCCTTCACAGGAAAAGGATCCCTCATCTCTGATATATTGACTGTTTCTCTCTCAGGCATTCATTATTGGTGGTAGTCTCCATGCTTTTTTGTTCTTGTCTTGGTCTTCATTAGTGCACCTTGTAAAACCTTTGCAAACTTAATTTGGCTTTGTTCTGACTCTTTGTTAATTTTTGGTGAATTCCCCCCCCCATTGGAATGCATTGAACTGTAGATTTAACAGCTCCAATGGGAGGGAAGATTCACCAAAAATTAACGAAGAGTCAGAACAAAGCCAAATTAAGTTTGCAAAGGTTTTACAAGGTGCACTAATGATTCCAAGCATTTAAAACAGTTTTTGAACATTTTAAGACACACTTAAAATAGCGAAAACGGACATCGCTAAGCGAAACAGGGGGACCTAAACTCATCGCTAAGCGAGGCAAGGTCCCGAACATCGGTATGCGAAATTTCCCCATAGGAAACATCGCTAAACAGAGCGCAAGATCGCTCCAAAAACCTCATTGCTAAGCAAATACATCATTAAATGAGGCAATCGCTAAGCGAGGCACCACTGTATGCTCCTTGGCCTGATTTCTTAAGGGTGGCACAGAGAGATAGAATGTGTTCTAGTTCCTTTTGGCTCTGGCTTGTCTTGCCGTCAGCTATCGCTTGCAATTGACTTTGCGTAAGGCTGCCATGGCCCTTCACAGGAAAAGGATCCCACATCTCTGATCTATTGGCTGTTTCTCTGTCAGGCATTCATTTTTGGTGGTAGTTCCCATGCTTTTTTGTTCTTGTCTTGGTCTACATTGTTTGACTTGCTTCCTAACTGATTTAATTGCTGGTTCATCATGCCAAGATACATGTGCCTTGGATGATAGAGAGCATGATGGTGACTTTAGAGAACTCTTCCCTCTTCTCATAGGTTATTAGATTAATTGAGTCAGGGAAGTAGATAAAGCCATTTGAGCCATGTTACAGAAGCATCAGAAAAGAACTGTTGAGGAGAACTGCAAAGAAGACTTGTTTAATCATTTCTGCCTATTGTCTAATTGGAGGTTACGGGTTAAATGTGTCTGCATTTAAATATGCTTGAATATGGTGAATATGTACAAAGGGTTTCTTTTTCCTGCTCTTCCCCCTCTAGGATGTAGATACTGCTGTTGTTTCAGATCAGTTAGGTGTCACAATCCCAGCAAAAGCAATTGCTTGTGAACAAGCTGACAGTGATGGAAAAGAGAAAACAGTAAGTCCTAAGAATAAAGTAGTTGAGTGGTGCCTATAGGACTTAATGAGTATGAATAATCCTTTCATACTTTTACTTACTCTTGCTGTGTTATTTGTAGACATAGGGACAAATATAAAAATGAATCACAAAATTACAGTGGTACCTCAACTTACGAACTTAATATGTATTGGAACGGTGTTCGCAAGTCGAAACGTTCGTAGGTAGAGGCACCATTTCCCATAGCAATGCATTGAAAACCGATTAATGTGTTGCAGGGGGAGAAAAATGCTGGAAAAAAAAATTAAAAATAACACACTGCAAGTCCTATGCTGGGACTGCAAAAAACAACAAAAAAAAAACACAGTAACATACCACCCCCAGCCCAAACCTACCCTCCAAAACCCACCCAGATCACCTTTTTTAAAAGAAAAAAGCAGCACTTACCGGTACGAAGCCTCCCTTGAATTTCCCGCCCTTTTCCCCTGCCTTTTTTTTCATTCATAGGTCAAGGCTCCATTCGCAAGTCAATGCAATTGTTTGTGAATGGACACGTTCATAAGTCAAAATGTTCATAGGTAGGGACGTTTGTAAGTCGAGGTTCCACTGTAGTTGAATACCGCTGATTCACCATATATTTGTCCCTTTGTATTTGTGAGATCTGGAGGCCCAAACAAATACAAAGGGATGAATGTATACCTTTTATATTTGTCAGTTCATCTCCAATGCCTATGCCCCTGTGGATCAGCTAATCCGCGGAGCATAGAAAGATAGGGAAATCCTGCCCTAAGGGAATCCCCCCCCCTTTGCAAAGATAGCTGAGAGAGGGAAAATTCCCCTCAGGCAAGCTTTCCTTATATTTTTATGCCCCTGCAGATCATCTGATATGCAGGGGCGTAGAAAGACAGGCAAGTTGCCTGGCTCCCCAAAGGGAGTCCCCCCCCCCCCCCGTTAAC